AAGACATTTTTTTAGTGAGTCCGATCCTAACTAGGCGTTTCAATCTGGGCAGATTTAAAAAGCCGTATTGTGTCAAAAAGGATAAAAGGTCTAAGTTATGGACATGATAATCCTTTTTGAATTCAAGCATGACTGAATGATATTGTTACACTAGAAAATTGTTTCTTTCGACAGAAAATTATGATGGAAAAAAAGTTCATTATTTAATTCGTTTCCTAGGAGTTTACTGCGGGTGCAGAATTAATTTCAGCTTCGCGACGCGACGCGAATGAATCGAACTTTTATTGTCGATAATTTCAAAACGGTAGATTTTATCAAAATTTCTTTGTTATTTTCAAACTAAGTATGTACATTTACACCTAAATAGAACTATTTTGAACTTTTTTATTAAAAACTGAGCGCGGATCTTGAAGTGAAATTTACCTTTTTGAAGTTCCGAGTTGAAATTACTCACCAGTTTACTGTATGTGTAATATGCACAAAAAAGAGGATATTTTTGTTCTTACACCCATATTTTTTCATATTAAAAATAAGTAAATAAAAACGACGCAGTACGCTATAATTAGCATTTAATAGTTATCTACCTTGGAAATCATTTTTTCTCTCTTATTTATAAAAAAAACTCGTTTATCATTCAGTCTCACATCACAGTTTTTTTTTTAAACTCATTTTATTTAGTTAGCACCGATATGCGGAGGGTGAAATGGTTAGCAACTCGAAAGGAGAAATCAGCGAGCAGAGTTCGAATTCTAGCAGAGTTTGTTACATTCACTTTCGCGCAAATAACATTGGTAAAGGTCTGACTGGACTTTCTCGCTGGTAACCATTCGACAACCTTGAATTCAAAAACCGTACGTAACCCTGGCGTTAACACATACCATGCAGTTCACAATGACTATAATCTCAAGAGAGGTATATTATTATTAAGTTGGCATTAGTATTATTATCAAGTCAGCACGGTGTAGGGGTTATTTAACCCATACTGCCCACAATAAAATACGTTATTAATGATAGGTTTACAAAAAATTCGGTATGACAGTAATCCGGTATTAATTCTAGGTTCCTACCTATAACACATGAATGACTACTGTCCCATTTTTGGGAAGATAAGCATTATAAATTGCCAGGTCTGCTTCTAGGAAAGTTGGTTCACTGTGTCGTTCTAGACAATTTTTCTCGTCAGAATCTTTTAACTTTATAAGTTTACAATTCTTCTGTGCATTGAATACTGCTGTTATATCTGGTCTGGTGCTTGTGCTACGTATCTAAAGATTTTTGACAAAATACAAAAAAAAATTGCAATATTATCGGCCTTGACCTGGTATCACGGCTTCAGTCTCTTTCCCATCGTCGTAACGTAGTTTCCCTGTGTCTTTTCTACAATTATTTTTTATGGTAACTGTTCTGATGATCTTTCCTCTTTGGTACCATGACTTTACAGATTTAAGCCCAGATTGGCATCTCGTTCTCATCATTTTACACTTAAAATGGCGAGACGCGTAACCTTAAGTTCTACACTTCTTGCACGTGGAACTCTCTTCCGACTTCTTGCTTTCCAGATCAAATTTGATCTTCAGAAATTTAAATGAAATACTTGTCTCCTTGGATCCTGCTCTGTTATTATCCTCTCTCTTTAATAATGAATTTTCTCAGATTTTTTTCACTTTTGGTATACCCTGCGTCTTTGTGGCTTTAACGCCTTCCTTCGGGGTGAAATGATTAAAGAAAAACAATACTTCAGTATACAATTTACCTTTTCGTCTAGTTAGATGTTGCTTACAGACATGGAGAATCAGAATTATAAAATTACAGAGATATTAATTTTTATATGAAAATATTTTCAAGCAAGATTATAAATAGAGAAGCATTTTTATGTATATTTAAAATTCGCATAAGCATATATTTTCGCACCTCTCCTAGTTTCTATTCCTTAATTATTAATATAAAAAAAGCTGTATAAGTTTCCGTTATTGATTTCAAATTATTTTATCCTTCATTTTATCGTTTTTCAGTCAGTTTTTTTTTTATGTTTCCGATCACGTCGTTTAACATTCTACGAACATTAAACATTCAACATGAATTGTAAATATGAAGCATTTGACGAGAATTGAACTTTGAATTTATCAATTAATAAGTAGAATAAGTAAGAAAAATGACGGAAGAAATGCTTTGTTCAAATTACGGATACGAAATTCAACAGATATAGAATTTCGAGAAAAAAATAATTGGAGCCAACTGGTGCTTTCATTAAAAAGGGGAAAATAAAGACTTACTTGATTCTTGTGGCCGAGCGGTAAAGCAGGCCGGATAAAACGGTGGTTTCGTCAACAGGAGTAGTGGCAGGTTCGATCCATACCAGAGAACTCATTTTTATTAAGATTTCACGAATGCGCAGTCCGATAGACCGTAAAAGCGTTGTTTCAACTAAAAATGGAACGTCTTTTCAAATATTTGAAATAACATATTTTTATTTTATATATATATATATATATATATATATATATATATATATATATATATATATATATATATATAAAAATTTCAAATAAGTATATCTGTAAAAACAACACTGTGAATAAAGACAAAAGGGTAAGATAAGTTTTCCTTTTATCTTTTATATATATATATATATATATATATATATATGAAAAGAGAGAGGACATAGAGAGAGGGAGGAGAGACATTTTCCAAGCGTAGCTTAGATGTGGCACAAAGGCTGAAAGTAGGGGGCACCCAGTGAGGATCAAACTGACTACTTAGTCATAATTGCTGTAGCAAGATAAACTTATAACCATTACACCGCAGTGAGTGGCCATATATATATATATATATATATATATATATATATATATATATATATATAAAATAAAATAATGAGATTCCAAAAATCACTTGTAAATGAAACAGTACTAGGAATTTTAGTTTAATTCTTTACTTAAATTTAAGGCTTTAGTTTCTGGTTTTGAAACATAGTAATTTCTTTGTAGCGATGGGACCATATTTTTAAATTAGTAAATTTATAATATATATATATATATATAATGGATATTGATAAATAGTGCCCAGCGGTGACAGTCTGTTTCATGCTTAAATGCAATCTTCAGGCCATGAAGACTGTATTCAAGTATGAAACAGACTATAGTCGCTGGTGCTGACCTCAATGTCCAATATTATATTTACATACGCCCTATCCCGGATATTGGGTACTTTAACCCATAAATATATCATACCTTAAAATTATATATATATATATATATATATATATATATATATATATATATATATTTTTTTTTTTTTTTAACGTAGCTTTTTCGGATGTGCAGATCGACGTTTTTAGATCTGTCAGTTTTGGGCAAAACATTTGAATGACAGCACTTATCCTTAGCTAAATGAACGCTGCCACTCGACAACAATTTTATTTCGATTCTGCGTGTATGTGTTTGTTTCATCTGTGGTGTGTATATGGGGGTGCGCGCGTGTATATATGTGTATGTTTTCTTGTGCATCTGGTGACTGTTGTCCAATTTTATTATGCATTTCACAGTGCCAAGAAGGATAAATAAATATCTAACTAGATACTAGTTTCAGACAGCACCCGTCTGTTAGGGCGGTTAATCAATTCCTGTTGCAGGCTCCTGCTCAGGCACATTTGTATTTGCTCAAGTATGAGTGATTCTCTACTTCAATTTCTATGTTGAGCAGATCTTAATTACAGTCTCTTGAAGAGCCGATAACCTCACGAAGAAATCGACAAACTGATCAAGGTGAGATTTGAACTAGGATTTCATAGTTGGAAAGCGAACATTCTAATCACTCGGCCATGCGCCCAAGAAATTCTACATGTTTATGCTTATAGCCGTATTAAATACGGGGTGGTAGCACCTGTTAGGGTCCCAGCTATTGGCAAATTGCGAACCCCCAAACTGTGGCCAAAACACCATGAAAGTGTAGAAATAGGTTTTAATACCAGCAATACATTTTTAGAAAAAAATATTACCAGCAATACATTTTTGAAAAAAAAATATTACCGTTAATAAAAACCTTGTCGGCATTAAATAACCCATTGAGGTTGATATGCCGTAAAACAAACCAAACATATTAAATATCCCAGAATTTGTAAGCACATGCATAATTTTTGAGGTCTTATAACCCCATCTCATTCAAAAAGGCTAAAGTGCTTTTTGCAACTGAACGTTTTGTCCGTTGGGTTTGTAGGTAATTCTGTAAATATTTTTGTGTAAATAGAGAAAGAAAATGAGTTTTTGAGGACCACATTGATCTCAGAAAATTAGCCGCAAGCCGTAAGAATAAATTTTTAGAAAACTAAATTTGTTCTCTTGGCCTCAATTTTTAGCTGTTGTTGAGCTGAACTGTATAATTTGTCTAAAGTGATTACAGTCATTTATTTTCTTATCATCGTCTTCTAAACAACTCACCCTTTGGTTATGAAGGGAGATAAAACAAAACAAGGCGAAGAAAATGAACAGCTAATTAGTTTTAAAATTCTGTTTCCTTTCAGGATGTACGAAATCATGGCACTCCACACCTTCCATCTTTTTAATATCTGTAACTTGCCATGACTTTTTGGATAATATAGTGAAGTTTCTCCTTACCTTCTCCACGTTTTTGATTTCAGAGTCGTTTTCTTCTAAACGTACTGCCACACAACACTCGTGAGCTCAGTCTTCCTTGATATTTAACCCATCGCTGGAGGAAAAGGCATAGATTCATGCCTTTCTCATGGTGAAACGTAAAAAACTCAGTCAATATGAACTCGGCTCATTGATTCCACTGATACACATCCCAAGCACTAAGAGAACATTACTAAAGAAGTAAAAAGTAAAATGTTAGAAGGAAGGAAAGAAGGAGGAAACAAAAAGCGGAAAGAAAAGAAGAGAATGGAGAAAAGAATGAAAGAAAAGAAAGAAAGAAACAATAACGGAAAGGTGGAAAGAAAGAAAGGGTGTGGTAAACAACCTTGAATATAAGTAAAATTAGTTTTATATGTGTAACAGTAAGAGAGAGAGAGAGAGAGAGAGAGAGAGAGAGAGAAAGAAAAGACGGAAAGAGAGAAAATATATAAACACGAAAAGAGGGGAGAAAAATATGAAGACGGAAAGGGTGGGAAAAATAAAGACGGAAAGAGAGAGCAAAAAATAAAGACAGAGAGAGATAAAGAGATAAAAAATAAAGACGAAAAGAGAGATAGAAAAATAGAGAGAGAGAGAGAGAGAGAAAATAAAGACAGAAAGAGAGAGAGAGAGAGAGAGAGAGAAAAGATATAGACGGAAAGAGAGAGAATAATAAAGACGGAAAGAGCTAGAAAATATAATGACGGAAAGAGAGAGAAAGAATAAAGACGGACAGAGAGAGAGAGAGAGAGAAAGAGAGAAAAAAAAATAAAGACGGAAAGAAAAAGAAAAATAAAGACGGAAAGAAAGAAAGAATAAACTGAGAGAATTTGAAGAGGTTGAGACGCGGACCAGAAACTGTATCTGATCTACACGTTGACACATAGGTAATTATGAATGTTGGCGTGTGTAATTCCACTGAGTGCTATTAAGGCCCGTCTAAAATCCATCGCTGTTGGCGCTGGGTGGTCCTCTTCTCTAATTTCTTGTCAAGTATTCTGATTGTGCATTTGTAAATTTGTGATTGGATTTATTGTCTGCAGGGTATCAACGTTGGGATGCGAGTCTCCTCTCGTGTGATGCCCGCCAATATAATAGGAAATATTTTCCCCCACTTTCTCGAAGGTTAAAAGAGTTCAACCTTGCATTTCTAGTTGACTATCAATGAGTTTCTAAAAGTGGTTATATCATTTAGAAAATTTTCTTGGCACACATTTGCTCACCCACTGAGAGAAGACGATCAGATGAGGACCTCGTGAGTGGGTCGTGGTTATAAGTCTATTTGGCCGGACTTTATTGGCCGGAAAAATAAAAACCACGGATACTTTCATTTTCATTCGTCGGAAAAACATATTGTCGATAGTCAAGTAGATGGACGTTGGTCAGTTAGAAAAATTGGGGCGACCAGCAGGGCATTCACTAATCGACTTTCTCGTTTTTCTGACGCTAAACTCCCATCACCTCTCTGCTCTTGCCAAAACGAAAGGATCTGCTTGAACAGGAGTCAAACTGTTTTCAAGAAAAGCCAATTCACGTTGCTTGCTGTCGACTCTCACCTTCCATGTCTTCTTCCAACAAGACCCTCAAATCGTCCGTCAAGATCAGGAAGACAAGAGATTCGAGTGACGGATGTAGGGTAACAATGGGGAGAGGGTGCCTAAAATTAAAATGGTGGATAGCGTCTCCAATCGAGTCGATGGTTGAAGACATTTCTGAAGGGTATTAGACAGTAGGCCAGCCGGTTACTTGTCTATAATGGGATAAAGTCAACTGTTTATGCTTCTGATTTTCCAACATTTTAATCTGTCATTAAGACAGAATACGGACTAGCCTGAGACAGTCGGTGATCAATTCCCGAAATCCGAATAAATTTCAATAGTGTACGGCTGACGGCCAAACTTTAGCAAAAGGTGACTATTTAAAAAGACCTAATAGGTTTTAATACAAAGCAAAGTATTTAGTAAGATAAATAGAATAAAATCCTACAGATATTAAAATCGTGTCTCCGAGTTTCAATTTTTATTTGCCAAAGGTTGAGTTGAATTTTAAATACGCAAAATGTGCCTACATGCTTGTATCAGATATTTACCAACAGGAAACTATTACTTTACTAAATATTATTTCATATATTATTCAAATTAACCAGCCTCACGGAACGTTCATGAATATTTTCCAACATTTTCTGGCTTTATTTTGAATCGTTCGCCCAGAAAGGTGATCATCTTGAACCGACACTCGACCGACCTTGAAACGCTCGGGCTACTCAAAGACCTATGCTCGGCATAAAGCTTGTTAGATTTTTTTGAGCTTCAGGTTTTATGCAGGAATGTTGCCCAAATTTGTTAGTCATCGCCAAGCTCACAGAGTGGCTCCAATACAACGTTGATAGAGAATGGTAGCAGGAATGATTTTCTGGAACGATACAAGGAACTAACATCTTTAGCGAATATACGAGTTTCATTTGATGTCTGGAATGAACTTTAGAACCAGTAGGCATTCGAGGCGAAGATCCTTATTACAGGTATGACCGCTCATCAGGATTGGAATAAATTTACTTAATTACTTATATTTGTCATTTTTCTTTTTTTTTTTAGGGGGACCGTTTTTTTTTTTTTTGCTTTGCTCCGCCTCTTCATTTATTGTAATATACTCTTACTCTTTTCTTTTATTGATTAACTTACACTAATAACTGCACCTCGACGTAGTGTAATGGACAGCAATTACAACTGGGTTGAGAGTTCGATCCTTACTGTGTTTTCCATACTTGCGGCCTTGTGACACATCTAAGCTACACTCAATAAATCACTTTTTACCTAGTCATCGGGATAAGATCAATGTGAAGTATCTGTAATTCACCTCCCTTCTTTGTCATCGAAACGGAAAGAGTTTTGAGTTACGCCTGGTCCCGTATATTCCAATCCTGTGGTAGCAACTCCTTCATTACACTAAAGAGAGCGGGTCGGTGGAATCCTGATACCAGCGTGACAGTGGTCGCGTGGACCGGACAATTTTTGGATTGGCCGAAGGTATACTCACGTTAAAAAAAACCAAAAACATTATGTCACATTTTATCACCATGAGAAGGCGAATTAATATTTGTGCACTAGCAGTGATTATTAAACGCGTTCACCTTTCCCTGAAGCCAAACAATACTTTCCTATCCTTCCATTCTAAACAAGAGTATCTTTCTTTTAAAAGTTGTCAAGTTACGATATTACCCTGATCGAGATTGAACATTGGTTTCTAATAAACACCTATTCAAGAATCCTAATTAACGATAAATGAACAATAGCCAGAATAAACGAACGAGTGACAGTCAAAAGGACACCGAAGAAAGGAAAAATGGCGGCAACTGATTAAGACTTGAATTACATCGTGGAAAGTTGAAGAAAGAAAAATTCTTTACATATCGATCAGACAAATAATTCGCCTTCCTCAACCAGAGGGTATTTTACTCAAGTGGAGGAAATATCTAGAGTATAGACTAGGCCTTTACAATTAAAAACTGTGAAGGGCCATGTTGATTTCAGAAAATTATCCGCGGGCCGGATGAGTACATTTTTAGAAAATTAAATTTGTCCTCTTGGCCTCAATTTATAGCCATGTCGTTGAGCTGAGCTGAATCATTTGTCTAAACTCATTATAGTCATTTATTTTCAAAGTTATCCAGAAATCTTAACTTTCTGTTTTCCCCACAAAAGTTTAGCTTCTAAAATTTTGTCAAGTTATCTTTTTTTTATTAACAGCAGCTTCTGTTTGAATTTCTTGAATGAAGAATTATCCTTGTTTATCCTATTTACATTCAGACTATTGTTCTCATCTTTGTTGTTGTTACAACAATATTTCGGACGTTTTGTCCTCCGGCCTTCATCAGGTGTATATCGACCCGTGTAACCCTTTATTTAATCTACTGGAGGTAGACTGTTTCCCCACCACTGTATGTCTAGGGATATCTCGTCTAGGTCTTATTTTTAGTGCTGCTCAGTTATTGCTCGTCCTGTTTCCACTGAGTCCAAGTACGGGACAATAGACTAGTGGATTAAAGCGAATTCGTGAATTTGGTGATTGTGAGTTCAATCCCAGGGCCGGGCAGTGTATACTTGAAACAGACGGTGTAATAACTGAACAGTACTAAAAAGAAGAACTCGACGAGATATCCCTAGGCAACAATCTACCCCTGTAGATTAAATAAAGAGTTCAGTTCGGAATTCCATGTAGGTTACCCGGATCGATATACATCTGATGAAGGCCTGGAGGTACAATGGCCGAAACGTTGTGATAACAGCAACAAAGATGAGACAATAGACCGGATGTAAATAGTTTTAAATTTTTTTTATGCGGAAAAGTATATCCAGGTCTCATTACAGAAAACAAATAAAAGCGAAAAAACAAAAAAAAATTGTTTATGTAAAATCAAAACAAAGCAATGCTTTTATATGTCCTGTAGATTAAAATAAAAAATATTCATTTTATGGGCGGATCAGAAAAAATATACAGAATCAAGAATTTGTAAAACTTGATAATTGATTTAGCCTCCTTACTTTTTATTTTGTGGTCCCTCTGCTTGTGGTTACTTTGCAGATTAGGACCCGCGCTCAGTTTGTATTAAAATTTTTCCAAATACTTACATTTAGTTGTAAATGTACATGTTTCATTCGACTTGATAAATTTGATAAAATTTATCATTTTGGAGTTATCGACAGTAAAATTTCGGATTCATTCGCGTTGTTGGCGGCAGCCATTACTGGCGTTGTTTGCATACATTCGTTGCGGAAAGCTAAGCGCGGAAGAGAACGTAGTTAACCGCTTTCTTTACTTATCTTACTTGTCTCAATTACTGCGCAAGAGAACTATATTGCACGCAAAATAATATAGACAAGTGAATGTTCCACTCATAGCTTGTCCGCAGCAAATTTATATAAACAACGTCAGTAATGTCTGCCGCGACACGAATGAATTCGAACTTTCACTGCTGATAACTCCAACACGGTAGATTTTATCAAATTTATCAAGTCATTTTTGAATAAATCATGTACATTTAAACCTAAATGCAAGCATTCGGGAATTTTTTATTGCAAACTGAGCGTTGGTCTTAATCTTCAAATTAACCCGGCTTGCAAATGTATGCACAGTTGTTTTAAATATATGCCTACCTGTATTCGGATTCATTCAACCTATGTCCACTTATATGCGTCGGAATATGTTCTCACGCGCGTGGTTGACCCTAAAAATAATCACTGAAAAAAAAAATGCTCTCATGAAAAGGAAGCTCGCTTACGTAAATGTGTATTTCTGTTGTGAACATAAAGCACACAAAATAAACAAAGTATAACTCAAAAATGTTCTTTTATCAAACAACAAATCGCCAATCAAAGAATTTCGTGACAAAAATCTAGATATCTGCCTGCGACCTTCAAAAACGAGTTGCTGCCAATTTACAGTTTGTACCTTCAATTCCCTGCTCCATAATTTTTCAGTTGGTTTAATTTCCGGTCGTCTTTGAGTAAAATTGCACAAAATAATGTCTTTGCGCGAAAAATGAGTCGAATGATAGGATATGAAGAAAAATCAGAGGAAAATGAAACTTATAGTTATCCTTAAAAAAGGAAAAAACTGAAAAAAATTATTTCTTTGCAAGAATAGTACGATTAAAATATGCACCGTTCCGTAAGAAATGAATGAAGTGTTTGAAAATATACAAATATAACTTAAACGTAATGCTTCTTTTCAAAGTTGTCTTATAGATGTCTAATATGTGTAAATTAAAATACAATGCGAGGATTCTATAATGCTATATATTAAAAAACAAAACAAAACTGAATTTTAGTAAAGTTCCAACAATGCAAAAATACTTTTCAGTTGTCTTAACAGAACTTCATTACAAA